TGTCAGTTGTCTGAAGAGCGTGCATTTTCCTTGTTGATCTTTCGAAGCCTTTCCTTGACGCATCGATCCGGTCATTATTATTTATTACCTTCATATCCATCTCTATATGAAGTATCTCACGTTTCTTACTGGTAACATGATATTCTTACCGCTGTCTCCAAATAATTACACAAATGCTGAAGCTGGTTATTACAATCCGACCCCCTGGGCCTGTGGTATTTCCTGGTATAAAATTGAAGAACGAATTCCCCATAGGGTCAGTTTTTAAAACATAATTTCCATCAGATACTTATTCCTCGTGTCTGTTCAAGTCGTAGTAATCAGATGCATATNGCATATCCACTGATATTCACAGTTAGTACTGTTTTTTCTTCTCTGATCAGTTCAATGTTTGTTTGGCTGTCTGCTTTTTACATCAAATCTACCAAGCATCTCCTTTTACTCCGGACGTCCATCTCTTTTGGGCCAGACCTCGTGTCACACACAGGGCTGATTATCCTACTGGTTTCACCTGCATATACAATCCGTTGTTGAATTGTCTGTCGTGCTGTGAGATCCACACATGACATTTCGATCATGCTAGCTGTGTCCATGTGAAAAGTATTGAGCGGTTTCTCGTTCCGCTAATGCAGTGAGTGTCCAAAGCGTATACATATTCCGGTCAGCTTCCAAGCACAACCTCGTGTTGCACTGCCTCTTAATATTCACAGAAACCAACATCCTCCATTTGTGTTATTTTATCTCTCTCGTAGGTAGGGGTCGTGAATAGGAGAAAGACTGCAAGCGATTTGGTTGTGCTTTTTGAAGTCGTTTCTTAATGAAACGCGGCTCCTGGCCTCCCTCCCACATGGAATGTGATGTAGACTCATTCGTTCGGTTTACTCTCTCGGTTTGGGTGGTTGTACCCACGTTAACAGTTAACATTATGATTTGCAATTTATATTTCACTGCTTGAACAATATATTACCAGACTTGTGTCATTAACCATATACATTGTTTAACAGGGTAGTTCGTGGATCGTTTGCGCGAATAAAATTTCCACTCTGCGGGTTGAGGGATAGTGTAGAGATGACATCAGTAAAAGCCACCCGGCTTAGCGGTAACTGAATCTGGACGTACAGGTGCTCTGTATTCTTTTTTTGTGTACGCATGACGGCTAAAGTGTATACGATACCTCCCAAAGCAAATTTCATTGATCGCTCCACAGTTCAGCTTATTCCAATTAGAGACAAATATGCTGAAAGAATGTAAAAACAGAGGAAAAATATGCTGAACAAAAGACCACAGTTGTCACTTCATGACCATATTCTGTAATATTTCCAACTCATAGATACTCCGCTGTGGGAAGTGTAAGAAGTTGTGTTAATCTCGATGATCGCTTCTCCATACCCCGCCTTCAAGTCATCTCTTGAACTCCCCTTAGCTTCCACCACCCTGATCGGCGCGAAGTGGCAGACGGCTGGCAGTTATGTCTTTACCAGCAGTCTGTCAAAGTTCGTCTGTTTTAATGATGGTTTCTTGCCGAGGTACACGAAAACACCCGATATCTTATTGTCGACACCACGAATTCACTCTCTGCACCCCACCTTCATCACAGCACACAGATGGCCGATATCTCAAGTGCAGATATGTATATTTTTCACATCAATTCCACGTCTTAGTCGTAGATCAGAAATGATCCTCCTACTGTACAACTCATCAATTTCAAGGTTACTGGTACAGTTTTTAATTCTCTAACCGGTACACAAGTGTGCTGTCTTCTTTCACCACACTAACACCAGTCAGTATGCAGTCGCTTTTTCATAATATGTATAATAAAACATTTCTTTCACTAATTTTCTTATTTTGTCGTGATAACCCCCCACAAACTCACATTTTTTCAGATGGAGCCATTTCGTGTGATTTTTCTTACCGTCTAATCCTATAATAAAACTGTTTTTCCGTTCAGCTCCTACAGCAAAACATGCAACTGGCCACCAACCCACCAACCCAGGCAAGTTTTTTCAGCATATTTCGCAATTTTTTGTCTTTTACTTTCTCCGTGTTTGTCGTCTTCTTAAAAACCAATAAACACACCTGGGTTTTTCACTTCGTTCCCACTCACGATTTTGATTTCCCGTGGATTTTTGTTCCATTCTTGCGGTCGTTTTTCCGGTTCATCTTCAGGCGCTTGGTTTTCGCTGATCGCATGCGCATCCGATTCATTTCACTATTCCTCTTCGTTTGAATGGCACGCTTTTGAGCGTGGCCGTTTACGATGTCGATAACGCTGCCAAAATATCGGCTCGGTCGATTACGTCGCGTGCGTGNTCACACACATACACATGCACAACCATCATCGCGGCAGCACGTGTCCTTCCTCCTTGTCCAAATCTACGCTCTCGCGTCTTGTGTGCGTTTGATCTATTCCTATTGATTTCATTTAAGAGACACCGATTCTGGAAACGGTACAGTTTATCGTCACATCGCGCTCGGCCCTGTGTGTTCGCTTGCTTATCTGCTGCGGTCCTTGTCACCTTTCATCCGCCCATTGGGATTCGGTAATCTCTTGTGTATGTATATGCATTCTGCAACCCACGACATCCTTCATGATCACCTTAGCCCGATTGCGTGTTGTTGTTGTTCGGTATGAGTGCACAAACTATTATCATCCTGCGGTAAATAATTTCTTCCGTCTCGCCTATTCAAGATTTCCTATGGTCTATCTTTGGTGGCTGTTTACTCTCATAGTTTACGCGGAGTTTATGGAACATGATACGGATCATAGTAGATCATATAATGGCCGTCGCAATAGGGTTGCTGCCGCAGTGCCCAATTTCCAGTCGAGGTAAGCACGCACAAGACTCCGACTGGTAACGCACCTGCAAATATAATGGGAGCGTCAAACGCGGCAAACATATAACCTTCCTTCCTCAGTTCCTCTGCCAACGAAACAGGGACAGGGACACTATTTAATTAAAGTGGGATGTTGCTGCAAAGTAAAAATTACACTTTGCAATACCACTGACCTTGTAGCTGGGCCAAATTGTATTCAGTTTCAGTACAGTTTTTACAACCGGTGTTAGCTGCTGTCTTTTGGCCACGCATGTAGATAAGGGAGCAGAATGAAGATTGGAATGTTGGGAGTAGAGTCAAAGATAAAATAGGGATTCATATCGACTGGGGTTGCAGGAATAATAAGTAGATACACGAGCAGCTCTTTTTGCGACACCCGGCCATATCACTCAGTGTCTCTAACCGCCGGTTACGATGATCTCGGGTCCCCAGCCAGGGAGCCTGACGGCATCCATGTGATTCAGTGTTCTGGTTAGGGTTTTCATACCCTTATGTCAGGTCTTAGTTTGACCACCCTTGGCCTTTTGCCATCCGCCGTCTGCCTCGGTAAACATTGCGCGCCGTGGTAACCTATTTGGTGACCGGCGCAATACGCCCCAACCACTGTAATCTATGAAGGTTGTCCGCTTGTTCCAGTGGGTGACCGGGATTACCTAAAACTGTGCGCCTAACCTTAACATTCCTTGTCTGGTTGCCCCACCAGACTCGTACAATGCTTCATAGACATCGGTGTTCGAACACCGTCAATCTATTTTTTATCCTGTTCCTTTAATGACCAAGGCTCTTCACCGTAGAGCAAGACTGGTCTAACTGCTGCAGCATATACTCGACCTTTTACGAATAACCGGATGTCGCAACGGCTCTTCATATAGTAGCACACTATCATCTGCATACTACAGATCAGACAGTCTGCCATCTGGGAGCAGATCGATGCCGCTATGCTCGCACGAGGATAGGGCTGTTTCAAGAATTAAATATTAAATTAAATTAAATGTATAAGTTAAACAGAAAGGGAGGGTAAAAGTCACCTTGAAGTACACTACTTTCTGTGGTGAACTCGGGCGAAAATGTACTGAAAGCTCGGATTCAACTTCATCTATTTGCATGAACATTGAAATTAACTTCTCGGGCACACCCTTTCTGAGCGCCAGAGTTTGGAGCGATCTACTGAGTCGAAAGCCGCTTGCAGATCAAAGACGATAGAAATGGTGGGTCTACGAAACGAGTGCCTGTGATCAAAAATTTGTCGAAGGGTGAAAACGTGGTCTACCCAATCGCGACTAGGTCTACAACCGGTCTGGTTCTCATGCGTGGACCGTTCACTTGTCGCAAGCAATCGACGGATGAGAATTTTCGAGACAATGTTGATCAAAATAATTTCTCTATGGTTTTCACAAGGGGATCTGTCCTCTTGCAAATCGGTAATATGACCGATTCACATCATTC